CAGCGCATGCAGGTTGTTGCACATCTGCTCCATCTGCTTCAGAGCCCACACCAAGACTATGTGCCAGGCCCGTCTGTCACCTAACAAATGGTTTCTACACGCACTCACCCCCAGCTAGGCGACTGGGAATTATCTGGTGTAGGGTCCTTTCTCTAAGGTTCTCACACGGGACTCACGACCTTCCCCTCATGTACAATGAGGGGAAGGTCTCGTGTTATCCACATTTACAGCATTACGTACGGTGGACCACCTTTTGTCCACAAGCATACGCTGGCATCATGTTCCGCTACGACTCATCCCGAGTGTACCTACCCCATCGTGGGGAGCTACTTACTTACACTCCAATTAATAAACGTTTATTATTGACCTTTCGTATCTCTTTTTTTTCCTCCAGATCCAGCATTAATTCTCTCATACCCGACGAGTAGTTCTCATTGTAATATGCCAAACTGGCTGCCATACAATCCACTATTTCAGCGGGTTGGAAGACATGGTTAAGCAAGACAGGTATATCATACACCTCAAATTACTATCCCTTTACACCTTTTCCCTCTGTAACCAAGCAAACACTAGTCGTTCCTATGCCAAGCTCGTTTCTTGCCATAGCCTTACGAACTACTTTGCAAGCCAGCTTACCTCAATAAAGCTGACTCATTAATGGGGACATATAGTCCAGTTCCCCCGGGGTGGTACGGGCGGGGCAGAGGGGCCCCGGTCCTCACTGGGACCCCTTGGCTTCACTAAGTATTACCCCGCAGGGGGGCGGCTGTTTGTTTCTAAGGCTACTTCATTTCATTTCACGGGATACCCAGCCCCTGCCCAACCATTTGTCGAACCTGACAGGGCAGGCCTACTCACGTATTAATAGACGCCTGACCATAGGTACAGGGTTTATTTGGCACAACAAATTCAGAGCTCTACACAATTTACACAGACACTACAGGAGACACAGGGTTCGTAACCCCTTTTTCGCAACTACTGGTTAGGGCCCATCGGCCCTCTGAGTCGGATACCTTGCCAGTCTTTAACCCCTTAAGGACCAAACTTCTGGAATAAAAGGGAATCATTACATGTCACACATGTCATGTGTCCTTAAGGGGTTAAAGAAACATCCAATGTTTCACATCCCTGGTGCCTACAACTCAGCTGCTGACGCTCTTTCACGCTCTCAATTTCAGGTCTCCGGCCAGGCTCTCCCTCCGGCCCACCTCCAACCATCCAGGACACCACCGTTCCTCTGGCTAATCCTGAGTTAAGCGGACTATTACTCCACGCACAAGCACTCAAGCACCACGCACTGTCTCCCAACACCACGATCACTTACGCTAGGGCACTGATTATTTTTAACAAATTCACCGCTGAGTTTTACTTACAAGGTGACTTTTCTATTAAAACTATGGTGGCTTTTGCCTCCTTCTGCCATCTACACCTTAAACTTTCACACAATACTACCTTACTGGGGTACAACACCATATCCTCCCTACCTTCCCAAACCATGCACCTTTTCCATCAAAAAAATCCTCAAAGGTATTTATAAGGTCACAAGTTGGAAGGCCATTTGGCCTGAATTTGTGGGAGGAGTTATGACCCTATTTAAACCCTACCCCCCTACTTACCTTTGCAGTTCAAGCTGTATGTCCCCACCCACCTATCTATATTAACAATTCACCTTTGTGGGCCCTCTTTTTACAGGCCTACTCGTACGTTGGTTTTGGCACACCTCAACCAACTTTGCTTCTCATCTACATTCCATTTACGTATTAGAAATTCCGAGCACAAATATATATATATCTCATACCTCACATTTATACAATATATATATCATACCTCGCATTTATATATAATATATTTATATCATACCTCACATTTATATAATAAATATATTCCATACCTCGCATTTATATAATATAATATATCATACCTTGCACACCTTTATATAAAACACACAGTGCACACATGGGGAGATGCGCCAGATTTGTACCACAAAATGGTATAGGACTTTAGGTTGGAGCTATCCATAAATGCAATGATTTGTGGGCCTTTCCTTGGGTGAGAGTGGGTTTGTCTCCGGCAGAGCATTGTGTGAGTTAAATCATCGTACTGACCAGTTAATATCTTTATAAAACATTATAATGGTATCTGTCCCATACCCGTCCCACAGCCAGGGACTTGGCGTGGGGGTTGTGCGTTAAGGTGGACACAATGCGCCTGTCCCAATCTGACACCATTACACCATCACCGCCACATCCATTACTATTCCTGAAAACCCTCTCCTCTGTATATTAATATTATATGGCACCAACATATTCCCCAGCGCAGTACTGGGAGAGGAGGTAGTGAGGTCCTACTCACAGTTTATCGTTTTATGTTGTTATGGGCTAGCTCGCTCGCTGTAAAATGACCACTCACACAGTTATTTAAAGTGGGAATTGTCAGGAAGGAAATTTAACATTTTTGGTCGAAATACTCAAATAATCAAAATGGAAACAAAATGGAAACACAGCTAAAACATTTATTTTTAATTGGCTTTACTCCCCCCCCACCCCTATCTCGAACAGTCTCTTCACCTCTCCTGCGTCTCATTATCTGACCGTCTCTTCACCTCTCCCTATCTCCCTCTGTCTCTCAATCTGACAGTCTCTTCACCTCTCCCTCTGTCTCTCAATCTGACAGTCTGTTCACCTCTCCCTCTGTCTCTCAATCTGACAGTCTCTTCACCTCTCCCTCTGTCTCTCAATCTGACAGTCTCTTCACCTCTCCCTCTGTCTCTTCACCTCTCCCTCTGTCTCTCAATCTGACAGTCTCTTCACCTCTCCCTCTGTCTCTCAATCTGACAGTCTGTTCACCTTTCCCTCTGTCTCTGACAGTCTGCTCCACCTCTCTGTCTCTCAATCTGACAGTCTCTTCACCTCTCCCTCTCAATCTGACAGTCTCAATCTGACAGTCTGTTCACCTCTCCCTCTGTCTCTCAATCTGACAGTCTCTTCACCTCTCCCTCTGTCTCTCAATCTGACAGTCTCTTCACCTTTCCCTCTGTCTCTCAGTTTGACAGTCTCTTCACCTCTCCCTCTGTCTCTCAATCTGACAGTCTGTTCACCTCTCCCTCTGTCTCTCAATCTGACAGTCTCTTCACCTTTCCCTCTGTCTCTCAGTTTGACAGTCTCTTCACCTCTCCCTCTGTCTCTCAATCTGACAGTCTGTTCACCTCTCCCTCTGTCTCTCAGTTTGACAGTCTGTTCACCTCTCCCTCTGTCTCTCAATCTGACAGTCTGTTCACCTCTCCCTCTGTCTCTCAGTTTGACAGTCTCTTCACCTTTCCCTCTGTCTCTCAATCTGACAGTCTCTTCACCTTTCCCTCTGTCTCTCAATCTGACAGTCTCTTCACCTCTCCCTCTGTCTCTCAATCTGACAGTCTGTTCACCTCTCCCTCTGTCTCTCAATCTGACAGTCTCTTCACCTCTCCCTCTGTCTCTCAATCTGACAGTCTCTTCACATCTCCCTCTGTCTCTCAATCTGACAGTCTGTTCACCTCTCCCTCTGTCTCTCAATCTGACAGTCTGTTCACTTCTCACTCTGTCTCTCAATCTGACAGTCTGTTCACCTCTCCCTCTGTCTCTCAATCTGACAGTCTCTTCACCTCTCCCTCTGTCTCTCAATCTGACAGTCTCTTCACAAGACACACCTTTCCCTCTGTCTCAATCTGACAGTCTCTTCACCTCTCTCTGTCTCTCAGTTTGACAGTCTCTTCACCTCTCCCTCTGTCTCTCAATCTGACAGTCTGTTCACCTCTCCCTCTGACTCTCAATCTGACAGTCTCTTCACTCTCCCTCTGTCTCTCAATCTGACAGTCTCTTCACCTTTCCCTCTGTCTCAATCTGACAGTCTCTTCACCTCTCCCTCTGTCTCTCAATTTGACAGTCTGTTCACCTCTCCCTCTGTCTCTCAATCTGACAGTCTCTTCACCTTTCCCTCTGTCTCTCAATCTGACAGTCTGTTCACCTTTCCCTCTGTCTCTCAATCTGACAGTCTCTTCACCTTTCCCTCTGTCTCTCAATCTGACAGTCTCTTCACCTCTCCCTCTGTCTCTCAGTTTGACAGTCTCTTCACCTCTCCCTCTGTCTCTCAATCTGACAGTCTCTTCACCTCTCCCTCTGTCTCTCAATCTGACAGTCTGTTCACCTCTCCCTCTGACTCTCAATCTGACAGTCTCTTCACCTCTCCCTCTGTCTCTCAATCTGACAGTCTCTTCACCTTTCCCTCTGTCTCTCAATCTGACAGTCTGTTCACCTTTCCCTCTGTCTCTCAGTTTGACAGTCTCTTCACCTCTCCCTCTGTCTCTCAATTTGACAGTCTGTTCACCTCTCCCTCTGTCTCTCAATCTGACAGTCTCTTCACCTTTCCCTCTGTCTCTCAATCTGACAGTCTGTTCACCTTTCCCTCTGTCTCTCAGTCTGACAGTCTCTTCACCTCTCCCTCTGTCTCTCAATTTGACAGTCTGTTCACCTCTCCCTCTGTCTCTCAATCTGACAGTCTCTTCACCTTTCCCTCTGTCTCTCAATCTGACAGTCTGTTCACCTTTCCCTCTGTCTCTCAGTTTGACAGTCTCTTCACCTCTCCCTCTGTCTCTCAATTTGACAGTCTGTTCACCTCTCCCTCTGTCTCTCAATATGACAGTCTGCCCCCCTCCCCCTGTCTCTTTTCTTTGATACATTCTGTTGTTTTCTGATACTTTCTTATTCCATGAAAATATACAATGTATCCTGCGCTGCTGTTCTGGTTGGCGCTATCTGCTGTTAGTAATGATACTGGGGGCTGTGTGTGCCTCCCCATGTATGGAGCTGTGCTGTATCATGCCAGGGGTGCCAGCCATGCCAGCTCATGGCAGCAGTGGGCAGGTAGGTAGGTAGGAAGGCTGACAGGCTGAATGAATGGAGGGGGTGGGGGTGGGAGGGATGGAGGGAGGAGGCTCCTGGTGACAATCTGGCTTTCAGAGGGTGGGCTGATAGGCTCTGTCACTGCAGCACCCGCTGGGCTCTGAGATAGCAAGCACTGCACCACTGCAGCACCCACTGCAGACTGCCAGGAGGAGGGTGGCACCCACTGCAGACTGCCAGGAGGAGGGGGCACCTACTGCACACTGCCAGGAGGAGGGGGCACCCACTGCACAATACCAGGAGGAGGGTGGCACCCACTGAACACTGCCAGGAGGAGGGGGCACCCACTGCACAATACCAGGAGGAGGGTGGCACCCACTGCACACTGCCAGGAGGAGGGGGCACCCACTGCACAATACCAGGAGGTTGGCATTTACTGCACACTGCCAGGAGGAGAGTGGCCCTCACTAAAGACTGCCAGGAGGAGGGGGCACCTACTGCAGTAAGCCAGGAGAAAGGTGGCATTTACTGCACACTGCCAGGAGGAGGGTGGCATTTACTGCATATTGACATGAGGGTGGCACTCACTGCACATTGAGAGGAGGGTGGCACTCACTGCACATTGAGAGGAGGGTGGCACTCACTGCACACTGCCAAGAGCCTGGAAGGTGGCACTCACCCACTACAGACAGCCTGGAGGGTGGCACTGACTCACTGCAGCTGGTAGGTGTGGGGTTGGTATGGGGGTGTGGTGGGGGCATTGCTGCTCATTACTGCTCTGTTGCATCAGTGATGCTGTGTGATGGTGCTTTTTGTAGCTGGGGTCTATCCATCCAGCATCCCATACAATCTGCTGCCTGCTGTGGGGGCACACCTCCCTTGTTCCCTGGCCAAGGACCCATTGAAAGCCTCTGGATTTACTGGAAAGCAGGCTGTTTGGGGGATTAATCAGGGATGACAGGAGCTCCACTGACAATCCTACAAAGGCTTTTTATTATCTCTCATTGGCATCCTGACTGCATCTGCTCAGCATCCAGCACCAAGACCATGCCAAGCAGGAGGTGAATGCCAGCATGCTGTGGATGGGAGGGGGTGGCATTGTGTACAGAGCCTGGAATGGTGGCTATTAGCACAGACAGGGCAGGATGGAGGCTGCATCCCATTTGCCTTTCAGATAACCTTTACTCAATGCCCTGATTGCATGCCTAGCACACATTACACATACCCAGCTATGTGCCCTCTGAGGACCGAGAGAGGGTCACTTTATTACTGCAATCAATATTGTAGATAAGATAAAAAGGAAGCACTATATATACATATATACATATATATACAACCAGGCCTTATTATAGATAATATTACACAGATATTTGCTACACCGATGAATATATATATATTCATCAGTGTAGCAAATATCTGTGTAATATTATCTATAATAAGGCCTGGTTGTATATCACACACTGTGTGTAATAACTTATGGTTGATATCACATACTGTGTCTGGCTATATATCGCATACTGTGTGTTATAATACCTGTCTGTTTATCACACACTGTGTGTAATAATGTCTGGATGTATATAACTACTATGTGTAATAACATATGGCTGTAAATCACATAATGTATGGTTGTATAGCACATACTGTGTGTAATAATGGGTGGTTGTATATCACATACTGTGTGTAATAAGGCCTGTCTGGATATCACATACTGTGTGTAATAGGGTATGGATGTATATCACATACTGTGTGTAATAATGTCAGGCTGTATATCACATACTGTGTGTAATAATGCCTGTCTTTGTATCACACACTGTGTGTAATAAGGCCTGTATGGATATCACATACTGTGTGTAATAATGTCTGGCTGTATATCGCATACTGTGTGTAATAATGTCTGGCTGTATATCACATACTGTGTTTAATAGTGTATGGCTGTATATTACACACTATGTGTGTAATAACGTATGGATGTTTATCACATATTGTGTGTGTAATAAGGCCTGGCTGTATATCATATACTGTGTGTTATAATACCTGGCTGTATATCACACACTGTGTGAAATAACGTGTGGCTATATATCACATACTGTGCGTTATAATATCTGGATACATATCATATACTGTGTGTAATAAGATATGGCTGTATATCACATACTGTGTGTAATAATGTCTGGCTGTATATCACATACTGTGTGTAATAATGCCTGGCTGTATATCACACACTGTGTGTAATAATGTATGGCTGTATATCACACACTGTGTGTAATAACATGTGGCTGTATATCACATACTGTGTGTAATAGCGTGTGGCTATATATCACACATGGTGTGTAATAACATGTGGCTGTATATCACATACTGTGTGTAATAACGTATGGCTGTATATCACATACTGTGTGTAATAATGCCTGGCTGGATATCACATACTGTGGGTAATAATGCCTATCTTTGTATCACATACTGTGTGTAATAATGTCTGACTGTTTATCACACACTGGGTGTAATAATACCTGGCTGTTTATCACACACTGGGTGTAATAATACCTGGCTGTATATCACACAATATGTGTAATAACGTCTGGCTGGATATCACACACTGTGTGTAATAATGTCTGGCTGTATATCACACACTGCGTGTAATAACGCGTGGCTGTATATCACATACTGCGTGTAATAATGCGTGGCTGTATATCACATACTGCGTGTAATAATACCTGGCTGTATATCACATACTGTGTGTAATAACGTGTGGCTGTATATCATATACTGTGTGTAATAATATCTGGATACATATCACATACTGTGTGTAATAATGCCTGGCTGTATATCACATACTATGTGTAACAATGTGTGGCTGTATATCACATACTGTGTGTAATAATATCTGGATTTATATCACATACTGTGTGTAATAATGTCTGGCTGTATATCACATACTGTGTGTAATAAGGTCTGGCTGTATATCACATATTGTGTGTAATAATACCTGGCTGTATATCACATACTGTGTGTAATAACGTGTGGCTGTATATCACATACTGTGTGTAATAATGTCTGGCTGGATATCACATACTGTGTGTAATAATGCCTGGCTGTATATCACATATTGTGTGTAATAACGTCTGGCTGGATATCACATACTGTGTGTAATAACGTGTGGCTGTATATCACATACTGTGTGTAATAATGTCTGGCTGTATATCACATACTGTGTGTAATGACGTGTGGCTGTATATCACATACTGTGTGTAATAATATCTGGATACATATCACATACTGTGTGTAATAATGCCTGGCTTATATCACATACTATGTGTAATAATGTGTGGCTGTATATCACATACTGTGTGTAATAAAATCTGGATTTATATCACATACTGTGTGTAATAATGTCTGGCTGTATATCACATACTGTGTGTAATAATGGGTGGTTGTATATCACATACTGTGTGTAATAAGGCCTGTCTGGATATCACATACTGTGTGTAATAAGGCCTGTCTGGATATCACATACTGTGTGTAATAGGGTATGGATGTATATAACATACTGTGTGTAATAATGTCAGGCTGTATATCACATACTGTGTGTAATAATGCCTGTCTTTGTATCACACACTGTGTGTAATAAGGCCTGTATGGATATCACATACTGTGTGTAATAATGTCTGGCTGTATATCGCATACTGTGTGTAATAATGTCTGGCTGTATATCACATACTGTGTTTAATAGTGTATGGCTGTATATTACACACTATGTGTGTAATAACGTATGGATGTTTATCACATATTGTGTGTGTAATAAGGCCTGGCTGTATATCATATACTGTGTGTTATAATACCTGGCTGTATATCACACACTGTGAAATAACGTGTGGCTGTATATCACATACTGTGCGTTATAATATCTGGATACATATCATATACTGTGTGTAATAAGATATGGCTGTATATCACATACTGTGTGTAATAATGTCTGGCTGTATATCACATACTGTGTGTAATAATGCCTGGCTGTATATCACACACTGTGTGTAATAATGTATGGCTGTATATCACACACTGTGTGTAATAACATGTGGCTGTATATCACATACTGTGTGTAATAGCGTGTGGCTATATATCACACATGGTGTGTAATAACATGTGGCTGTATATCACATACTGTGTGTAATAACGTATGGCTGTATATCACATACTGTGTGTAATAATGCCTGGCTGGATATCACATACTGTGGGTAATAATGCCTATCTTTGTATCACATACTGTGTGTAATAATGTCTGACTGTTTATCACACACTGGGTGTAATAATACCTGGCTGTTTATCACACACTGGGTGTAATAATACCTGGCTGTATATCACACAATATGTGTAATAACGTCTGGCTGGATATCACACACTGTGTGTAATAATGTCTGGCTGTATATCACACACTGCGTGTAATAACGCGTGGCTGTATATCACATACTGCGTGTAATAATGCGTGGCTGTATATCACATACTGCGTGTAATAATACCTGGCTGTATATCACATACTGTGTGTAATAACGTGTGGCTGTATATCATATACTGTGTGTAATAATATCTGGATACATATCACATACTGTGTGTAATAATGCCTGGCTGTATATCACATACTATGTGTAATAATGTGTGGCTGTATATCACATACTGTGTGTAATAATATCTGGATTTATATCACATACTGTGTGTAATAATGTCTGGCTGTATATCACATACTGTGTGTAATAAGGTCTGGCTGTATATCACATATTGTGTGTAATAATACCTGGCTGTATATCACATACTGTGTGTAATAACGTGTGGCTGTATATCACATACTGTGTGTAATAATGTCTGGCTGGATATCACATACTGTGTGTAATAATGCCTGGCTGTATATCACATATTGTGTGTAATAACGTCTGGCTGGATATCACATACTGTGTGTAATAACGTGTGGCTGTATATCACATACTGTGTGTAATAATGTCTGGCTGTATATCACATACTGTGTGTAATGACGTGTGGCTGTATATCACATACTGTGTGTAATAATATCTGGATACATATCACATACTGTGTGTAATAATGCCTGGCTTATATCACATACTATGTGTAATAATGTGTGGCTGTATATCACATACTGTGTGTAATAATATCTGGATTTATATCACATACTGTGTGTAATAATGTCTGGCTGTATATCACATACTGTGTGTAATAAGGCCTGTCTGGATATCACATACTGTGTGTAAAAACGTGTGGCTATATATCACATACTGTGTGTAATAACGTGAGGCTGCATATCACATACTGTGTGTAATAATATCTGGATTCATATCACATACTGTGTGTAATAACGTGTGGCTATATATCACATACTGTGTGTAATAATATCTGGATTCATATCACGTACTGTGTGTAATAATGTCTGGCTGTATATCACATATTGTGTGTAATAACGTGTGGCTGTATATCACATACTGTGTGTAATAATGTCTGGCTGTATATCACATACTATGTGTAATGACGTGTGGCTGTATATCACATACTGTGTGTAATAACGTGTGGCTGTATATCACATACTGTGTGTAATAATGCGTGGCTGTATATCACATACTGTGTGTAATAATGTCTGGCTGTATATCACATACTGTGTGTAATAACATGTGGCTGTATATCACATACTGTGTGTAATAACGTGTGGCTATATATCACACACTGTGTGTAATAATGTCTGGCTGTATATCACATACTGTGTGTAATAAGGCCTGTCTGGATTTCACATACTGTGTGTAATAATGCCTGGCTGTATATCACATACTGTGTGTAATAACGCGTGGCTGTATATCACAGACTGTGTGTAATAATGTCTGGCTATATATCACACACTGTGTGTAATAATGTCTGGCTGTATATCACACACTGTGTGTAATAACGTGTGGCTGTATATCACACACTGTGTGTAATAACGCCTGGCTGTATATTGCGACGGAGCTCCTGTACTCTGTCTGAGTACCTCCAACAGGTCAGCTTCCTTGCTGCTGCCAAGGACTCTGGAAAGCTTCAGACTCAGTTGCTAAAGTTTGATTTGGGGTGTCTGAGTACCTCACCGGACCACGCTGCAGATCTCTCCTTCCGGGCAGGTATCATTCCCTCTGCCTGAGGTGTCTCCAACTACTACCATTATAAAGGCACTTGCTCTTTCTCAGGCCTAGCTCTTTCTTAAAGGACTACTATAGGCACCCAGACCACTTCAGCTTAATGAGGTGGTCTGGGTGCCTGGTGCAGCTAGGGTTAACCCTTTTTTCTATAAACATAGCAGTTTCATAGAAACTGATATGTTTATAATAGGGTTAATCCAGCCTCTAGTGGCTGTCTCATTGACAGCCGCTAGAGGGCTTCCACGCTTCTCACTGAAGACACCAGCGTCGATAGGAAAGTATTGTGAATGCTTTCCTATGGACTGGCTGAATGCGCGCGCGGCTCCTGCCGCGCATGCACATTCAGGAGAGGAGGAGGAGAGTCCCCCGCTTGGCGTTGGAGAAAGAGGTAAGGTTAACCCCTTCCACCCCCTAGAGCCTGACGGGAGGGGGACCCTGAGGGTGGGGGCACTCTCAGGGCACTATAGTGGTCCTTTAACATGTCACCACGATCAGGAACCAATGCATGCAACCATGACATCTGAATAACTGTTACTGAAATCCCCAAACAAATCAGACAGGACACACAGTTCTCAACTTACACCCAATACTTAATTTACAGTCTGGCCAGCCCCTATCCACATTATATTACAGTTATGGTGGATATATATCACATACTGTGTGTAATAATAACTGGATACATATCACATACTGTGCATAATAATGTCTGGCTGTATATCATATACTGTGTGTAATAATATCTGGATACATATCACATACTGTGCATAATAATGTCTGGCTGTATATCATATACTGTGTATAATAATGTCTGGATACATATCATATACTGTGTGTATTAAGATATGGTTGTATATCACATACTGAGTGTAATAACGTATGGCTGTATATCACATACTGTGTGTAATAATGTCTGTTTACATATCCCATATTGTGTGTAATAACATGGGGCTGTATATCACATACTGTGTGTAATAATGTCAGGCTGTATATCACATACTGTGTGTAATAATATGTGGATACATATCACACACTGTGTGTAATAACGTATGGCTGTATATCACATACTGTGTGTAATAATGTCTGGATATATATCAGATACTGTGTGTAATAATATCTGACTGTGTATCACATACTGTGTGTAATAATGTGTGACTGTATATCACATACTGTGTGTAATAATATGTGGATACATATCACACACTGTGTGTAATAACGTATGGCTGTATATCACATACTGTGTGTAATAATGTCTGGATATATATCAGATACTGTGTGTAATAATATCTGACTGTGTATCACATACTGTGTGTAATAATGTGTGACTGTATATCACATACTGTGTGTAATAACGTATGGCTGTGTATCACATACTGTGTGTAATAATGTATGGCTGTATAACAGGAGTATAGTAGAGGAAAAACAATACCACATACACCACTAGAGGAGCTCTGGCACTGGAATTGCATTGGACCACAAATACCATGATGCTCGCCATGAACAGCAGAGCATGCTGGGTAAGGGCAGTATCAGACATGGTGGATGTTAAAGCTGTGCATGCGGCCCACAGATTGACAGTACAGGATTTTACCTGTCATTAATTTCTCCCCAGACTGCACGACTTGGCCTAGAAAATAGAAAAGGTTTCAGGATATCAGGAACAATTAGCTATTTTTATGATTTACTCTGTTTATTTTTTTGTTTTACTCATCCCTTGTGCTGTGTATTTGTGCAGACGGCATGCCCTCAGAATAGAGAACGGGGCCGGGCAATATTACATGGGTCAATTGACTGGGTCTGTGTTACATACAGAATTCATATGGGGAAATGTATATATATATATATATATATATGCTTGTATATCACATGTTTATTAGTAAATAACAAATAAACAAGGGCAAGGTGACCCCCTGACAATATTAACTAAGAGTTCCTTCCATCCATCTGTTCATGCATCTAACTCCGTCCACACCTCCATCTGTCCATCCATCTACCTCTATACATCCATCCACCCCTCCATCCGTCCATCCATCCATCTTCATACATCCATCCACCCCTCTATCTGTCCATCCATCTACCTCTATACATCCATCCACCCCTCCATCTATCCATCCATCTGCCTCTATACATCCATCCACCCCTCCATCTGTCCATCCATCTACCTCTATACATCCATCCACCCCTCCATCTGTCCATCCATCTACCTCTATACATCCATCCACCCCTCCATCTGTCCATCCATCTACCTCTATACATCCATCCACCCCTCCATCTGTCCATCCATCTGCCTCTATGCATCCATCCACCCCTCCATCTGTCCATCCATCTACCTCTATACATCCATCCACCCCTCCATCTGTCCATCCATCTGCCTCTATGCATCCATCCACCCCTCCATCTGTCCATCCATCTACCTCTATACATAAATCCACCCCTCCATCTGTCCATCCATCTACCTCTATACATCCATCCATCGACCTCTATACATCCATCCACCCCTCCATCTGTCCATCCATCTACCTCTATACATCCATCCACCCCGCCATCTGTCCATCCATCTGCCTCTATGCATCCATCCACCCCTCCATCTGTCCATCCATCGGCCTCTATACATCCATCCACCCCTCCATCTGTCATCATCCATCTACCTCTATACATCCATCCACCCCTCCATCTGTCCATCCATCTACCTCTATACATCCATCCACCCCTCCATCTGTCCAATCTGCCTCTATGCATCCATCCATCTGTCCATCCATCTACCTCTATACATAAATCCACCCCTCCATCTGTCCATCCATCTACCTCTATACATCCATCCACCCCACCATCTGTCCATTCATCTACCTCTATACATCCATCCACCCCTCCATCTGTCCATCCATCTACCTCTATACATCCATCCACCCCTCCATCTGTCCATTCATCTACCTCTATACATCCATCCACCCCTCCATCTGTCCATCCATGTACCTCTATACATCCATCCACCCCTCCATCTGTCCATCCATCTACCTCTATACATCAATCCACCCCTCCATCTGTCCATCCATCTACCTCTATACATCAATCCACCCCTCCATCTGTCCATCCATCTACCTATATACATCCATCCATCCATCTACCTCTATACATCCATCCACCCCTCCATCTTTGCAGGAGCATCATTTGACCTCATGCTGTAATGATGCTTTACCACCTCTCTATGGCACTCTGTGTACCTGTCCCACAAATCTTGGTCCCTCTTTCACCTTAGTATTATCTGTCCAATTTTTCACAGGAAAAACAAGCTGTGAACAATAGGGGCGGCTTAGCCCAAAACTTCCTTGTGATAAGCTGCAGTAGTTACAGAGTGTAGAGTCTCCCTTAAAACTAGCAAATCATTATGGGTGTTGAGGTTCTAGAGCTGACCATCTCCCTCTTTCCCACTCCTGATTAAATGGACACTCTGGGCACTGTATCCACTTCATCTCATTGAAGTGGTTATAATGCTTAGAGTGCAATGTAATTGTACCCAGCTCCTCTCAGTACTTGTTGCCTGATAATTCATATTAGACCATGCTCACTGGTGAGGACAATGTAGAGACACTAGGCCATTTGAAATTGGAAGTGCTGTTTATCTTCTTGCCAGCCATGAATAGCTGAGAATCGATCAGACTGAATTCTAATACTGGGGGCTCCGTGGAAAGTCAGTCATGTCGAACTTTCTCCTTAAAGGATCACTATAGGGTCAGGAACACAAACATGTTAACACCACCATCTAACCCCTCTGGGCCCCTCATGCCTCCATAAATATAGCTAAATCTTACTATATTCAAGCCTGAAGCTGTAACTCTGCATGCTGTTAGACTCAGAAAAACAAGCAGTCTGGTGACATGTGGTAGCCTGATCCAATCACAGTGCGTCCCCATAGGATTGGCTGAGACTGACAAGGAGGCAGATCAGGGGCAGAGCCAGCATGATTCAAACACAGCCCTGGTCAATCAGCATCTCCTCATAGAGATACATTGAATCAATGAATCTCTATGAGGAAAGTTCAGTGTCTGCATGCAGTGGGCGGAGATACTGAATCACAGGATGCTGTGAACAGTGCTGCCCTGTGCTCTGCTGACAGCAGATATGAGTGGCTTCCATCAACTCCGAAGTCCCTCTTGTTCACTCTGAGTGACTGCAACTGGAGGTGTTCCTAGCATTCAATGTAAACACTGTATTTTCTCAGAAAATACAGTGTTTACATGAGAAAGGCTGCAGGGAGCTATAGTTCTCACCTGAACAACCTCATTAAGCTGAAGTTGTTCAGGTGACTATAGTGTCCCTTTAAAATGAACATGCTAAGTTACATTTGTAGCTAAAGCAGACAGGCTACAATACAGAGCATATGAAAGAGATTTAGACATGCAGAGCCCTCACATGATTCCTGAAATCAATGTATTATTACATTATCTTGAGGTGGGAATTAACCTAAATATTGTTAAATATTCACTGAACTGGAAATGGCAGAGAATTGGTGAGAATGTTCCAAATTTTCAGGCCAAAATAGACAAAAATGTAAAATTTTCTAACATTGTGGACCTTTAATCATTGTGCTTCTCCAGCCCAAGACAACTGAACCCAATGTTTCATAACAAGAAGAATAAGCCATCAGCGTCATCATGGTGTGCGTAATGATAATGTGAAGACCTTTTAAAATGGAGGACATTGCTCCAAGGGCCATCAGTCTGACAGCCACTCAAGGCGTATTCTCAGTCACTATTACATTGCCAGAGAAAGGGACAGTATCTGTGCACCATAACCACTGCGTTGAGATGGTGTCCCTTTAATACCATAGTCCTATCCTATTGGGTTAATAGGCTGACGGTCCTTTTGGGAATGTTTCGGTTAAATGATTTTATTTTATTCATTCTGTAACAGACTGACATTCATTAGTTATTACATTCCAGTCTCAGTCGGGCTAGTTGTATAGAAGTTAGAGCCTCCCAATTAGAGGAATTTCCTTGTTTTGACGGTGACTAAGGAGTCTGGGCACTGAGTTGGCAAGCTTCCTGTATTATTGTTCCTGCAATCTCAGGCCCTTCCCATTACTAGTACCATCTGTATTTTGAAACCTGTGCATGCACTTCTTTTAGACAGAGATCCTTGGAATTACCTCCAGTAAATACAGAAACCGAGGTTACTGTGTCCTAACACTGTGTGTTGTAAAACACGGGGCTTATTCAGTAACTGTAGAATAGGAATTTGCGTTCCCTAAATTATAACAGTATATAATAAGCAACCTGGAAATATAGAGTATTTTTTTATTTTCCCTAAAATGTGAGTTCCCTTTTCAATTCTACAGAACTGCCATAAGGGATTATTAACTGAATTCCAAGTAGAACTTAATCTAAATTGCAAAATGTAGAAACATTCTCGAACTTAACGATTGTCACTTCTCATTTTGCAATTCGTTTTTCAATTCTCCACAATTCGCAGTTTAGTGAATACATCCCTTACTGTTTATTATATTTATTTTCACTCTATACTGTCATTTGAAACAAGGAAGACATGTGAATTGACGTATTTATTGTGATTTAATTCACTGCGTTTTGCAGTAAACCTTCCAACACTTATATTATTTCATTTTTTATCCCAGGTAACTAAGAAACGTGAATGACCGGATCGTGAGAATACTGGGTGTTGATTAGGGAACAGAACGGAGTTTGCTAGTTTCTGGAGACCCCTGACGAGGTCTTCTCCCCAGATTTCAAGGACATTGCTGGCTCCGGGTTCAAGCTGGATGTGTCTGTGGAAGCTGGTCTGGATCTCTGAGTGACTGGAAGTTCCTGCTGGTGGGAGAGAAGAGACAATCAGTAGAAAGGAATCTGCTTTTGCATTCTTCAGCCTTGCTGCAGCCTCACAAATAAACAGGCACACAACGGGGAGGTGGGGCACCTTTTCACAAGGTACACTGTGCCCTTGATGTGGTGTTTTTGCATACCTCACGATTATACTGCCCTCCTGTAAAAATCTTGTAATGATTAAACCTTCCTCAGTACGGATCTGCACAACCTGCCTATCACAACATCTTCGAGATCCAGCATTTTGATCCAGGATTGTTGGAAATTACTTGGCCGGCTTCAGTTGATTACAGTACAGTATTTTGCACGAAAAAAAGTCAGGAATTGGAATTCTTGGATTTAAATGTTATTTGATTATCGGATTCTGGACCATGAACCTTTGTGAAGGACAAACTTGTGTGGTTGATTTCATCAGTATTAAAATTGTGCCAAAAGGAGATTTTTAAATTGTGAGTGACCCCATCTTTCACAGCCACATGCAGGGGGCACTCGGGGAAAATAAGGTGGCGGACAGCAATGTGAAAAAAATCCTCATGTCGTGTCTGAAAGGGCAGCAGGTAATCATTAAAATGGAGACCATGAAGATCATACAGGCTGAGAAGTTCTCGGAATGTCATAACTCTCAGCCGAGGTATGGTCCTCCAACACGGAGAGAACCTCCTTTAGTTGCCAAACGTGCTTGGCCTTCAGACTCAGAGATCATAGTCAATCAGGCTTGTGGAGACATACAAACTCTGGAGAACACACCAAGCACATTGGGTCTTCCGAGGACACCACCACCACCACGACGCGAGAAGATCTACCCAGGACCAAGGAAGGCTAGCACAGAGATTTGTTATCATCGCAAAACCCCTTCAGACGAAGTCATTGTCAATCAATATGTCCTCCATCCATCCACCCCCTGTGAACCTTTAGAGTGCCCAACATGTGGGCACATGTACAATTTCACCAACAAAAGACCTCGTATCTTGTCCTGTCTCCATTCTGTGTGTGAGGAATGCCTACAAATCCTTTACGAGTCCTGCCCCAAGTACAAATTTATTTCCTGCCCAACTTGCAAGAGAGAGACTGTCCTGTTTACAGACTATGGCCTGGCAGCCCTCGCTGTTAATACCAGTATTCTCAACCGGCTGCCCACCGAGGCCCTCTCTGCAAACCCGGTGCAGTGGAGCACTGAAGCTGACCGCAGCTGCTACCAGACCTTCCGGCAGTACTGCGGAGCGGCCTGCACTTGCCAGATCCGAAACCCCTTGTCCTCATGTGCCATCATGTAACCTGGCATTATCCATGCAGTCCGGGAAACCCTTGGGAGCTGTATATTAACGTCCAGTATTATATCGTATGGGAGCCAAAGCAAGTGCCAAGCTAGCTGGTCGGGTATATTGGACTCGGCACCAGGCTCTTTTCTATATCAATGAATCAGACTTGGGGACTGGCAGAGATTCCCACATTTATCATCGTTTACATCCTTCTGTCATGCGACTTGGTGAAACTTGCATTCTGTGTAGTCTGTCTCTCTCCCTCCTGTATGCCCGAGCTGTCCCTCTGCTCCCTTCTTCTTTATGTCTCTTTTCTTCGTACCCCTTGAAGGGGACAATGCATATGAGCGTGGGTGGAGGGGTGCAGGTACACACTCTAATAGTGAACTATCCATTCTTGTGAGTCCGGCAAGCACCAGCTGGACCCAGCACCAAGCACAACGACCCTTCCAGGTGTTACTCACAGGAACAATGGGGAATGTAGACAAGAGTCATTGATTGACTGGCGTCACGGACCACGCAACATCAACTCCCCCATCTCCCCCCAAAAAACTCACATGGAGGGGGGAGGTGGCTGCCACTTTTATTCTGTCAAAATAGTTTTGCCAAAGCTTTGTATCAATAGCTGACTGAGACTGAAGCAGATAATTAATCTATTTTAAATTATTGTATGTTCTAAGCAGAAGCAGCACGTCTTGCGTCATCCACTTTGCAGGTTGTTCTTCCATCTAATGGGTTAACCCTTCTCCTACCGGCGTGTCCCATGGTGCATTGCAGAGCAATACCTTGGGACGCGGCGGCTGGCAGGGAAAGGGTTACCTCGTCCTCCAGCGATGTGTTTAGGTGGGAGAATCATTGTGGACGTGTGTGTTTCATTATCTCTTATTTATGGGGTAACTGTGATCATATCTGATGCCCTGCTATGTAATAGCTTCCGCTGACAAGAGATGATTGTTGCTGTAGCGTTAGCTCTTCTGTCTAGTCACCATCAATTACATAAATGGCTACAACACGCAGTGTGCACTTCCGTCTCTTATTTCAAATGCAGATTAATGACATAAAATCTTTATTTGCAGGAAGTCACCGCAATCCAGCCTCTTCTGTTATCAGACACTTCACCCCTTCCTTCCATGGTGTTTCCAACCCTTCTGGCACAGGAAAGGTTAAAGGGAGAGTAGCACACTGTACTTGTACCCGGTACTGTGTGTTTTATATGTCATATCCCAGTCCTACTGACACCTCCACTGTTTAGCCTGTGCTGGGGTAAGGAACAGAGGTTAATTTTCGGAGGTTACTGATGTTTGATGGGAAGGTTGATGTACTGCTACTTTTGCGAAAGATGGTCGATAACGATGGGAATGAAAGAACGACTGCGGCCACGGAGCATTATTAATTAACTTGTGTACTAAGCAAGCAGCATCGATTCATTCCAGTATAGCTTTGTACAGCGCTGCAGAATATGTTGGAGCTCTATACATAATAACCATTCCTATTATTGGGGGGTGAGATCACAGCAGTGCTTGTCACATTGGTGTCAGTGAGAGTCAAGGGATTGTCATTAACTGCAAAATGTCACCCAGTAATAGAAATTACACTGTGCCTTCATGACAAAACCCCACTCTGTCCCTTTAATTACCAGGATTTCAGTGTCACAGTGTGATGGCGAACGCGGCCCTGGGAGCTTGCAATCAGTTGGTTTTTACCTTTTAATGTTACACAGAATATATTCGTTCCCATGACAAACTCACAATTTACATCCTACGTGACTTTGTGGGGGCTGCAGGAAATGTCAACTAAATCTCTTTCCTCAAAGGGCTTATTTACTAATTCAGAACTCAGCTGTCACTTTGCTACAAATCATCATTTGGAGAATAAACCCCGCAGAGGTTTAAATGGCATCTGGAAAAATGACTATGGACGCAGGTGCGTCTGACCCATAAAGACCCCCGTAACGTGTTCACAGTAATCTGTGTGCGTTATTTTGCAGGTTTAATTACTCCTGATTAATTAATATTTATCTCGTAGCTTTTCAGTTTCATTAAGTGATTCCTGCACAATTCTATGCCCAGTAAATGTGTAACCATTGTCTGAACTCCCACAATGCACTGCGTCCACATTAGGGTGAGAGAAGGATGTCTAGATACACCATGTATTCATCTTACGTCTTCACTGGTGATTAGTCAGCGCATGAAGAGTACTGCCCTGCTGTATGTAGCATTCCAATGCTGCAGGATCCTTCAGTGATCAGTGACCCGATATCCCCCCGGCACATATAATGTTACATACTGCCGGGCAGCACTTTTCTTACATTTCACAACAATATGTAGAAGTGCGCACAATACAAGGAAACAAGGCAGGCCCTGTGTGGAGGGCTCGTTCCCCCAATATCAGTCTAGTTCTGGTACGAGCCATTCATAGTCTGCAGGAGAGAAACCAGGAACGTCATGGATTCATTGAATAATTTCTCTCCTGCTGCCTATACCGGCTGTGTCCTGCAGGGGAGCCCTTTTCATGCTCTGATCATCAATATGTCCAGGAGAGCTGGTGTAATTGCCAGCCTTGGTCACTGTGGAGTTCGTGCTCAATATCCCGATATCCGTCTGTTATTTTTATCAGACAGAGAGCGGAGATGCGGGAACTGGGAACACACTGTTAAATTCCACTGATACATGAGTGTACTCATCACAAACAGTCCGTGTAAACCACAAACAAGTGTGAATGTTATCCTCGGCGTGTCTGGCAAATTACCCCGGGGATAGCGGCTTCCCAGCACTCACATAGGGGCTCATTCACTAAACCCTGAAATCCAAATTAGCTGAGCGTAAACTATGGCCTCACTGGCGAATGGCTCCATATAAACCTTTAACCTTGTAACAATTTAACTTTCAGTTCACTTCAGTTTGGTGTTTAGGGAAGAAGCACGTTTCCAAACCTGCTGGGTTATTTACTAACATGACAACTGAAAGGAAATTTTGAATTTAAGGCCAAAGTAACTGAATTAGAAAAAACCTCTGAACCAGCTACGCTTCACGTTTAACTACTTTGGCCTAAATTGTGAAGTTCCCTTTGAATTCTCGGTTTAGTATATAATCCCTGCGGGACGTTACAGATGATGGAAACACGGAACCAATTTCAGAAAGTAAACACTTTAATAAAGTGAAAGTTTTGGGGAATTTCAAATTTAAGGCCGAGGTAGCCAAATGGGCCAAGTCCCGGTTAAATCTGTGTCTGTTAATAAGAGTATATACATATTATTAATGCATGACTCAAAGAGGAACCTTACACAAAATGAAACTGCTATTTGCATTCCGTATTGACATGTTTACAATCTTGATTTTCTAAACCAAAATATGTTGTTTTTGGGTCAAAACAGCTCGTTGATGCGGCTGGGATTGTGTAACGTGCAGTTCGTGTTGGTAGAAGTCAATTTTAGACAAGGCTCTAATTCCTCCCTTATCTGCTCTGCAAGGCACTTCTTCCTTCCAAGAACACAAATCCAAAAATACCTCCCAGTAATCTGTGAAGGCGAGGGAATGCAGATTTGGCAATGAAACCGCGCTCCACCAGCCCACCTGGGCCTTATCACATACTGCATGGTGGGGGAGGACTGCCGACGGCGGTGCTGGGATTTCTGGGTTGGGATGGGAGAAGCCAAGGTTACAAGATCCATCATGTTTTCCTGGACCAATCTAACCTCTTTCTGCTGTTGGGCAGGGAATGAAAAGTGTTTAGCAGCTAATCAATGACGGCCCATTCAGAGCATGAAGAATTACACAGAATGGGAACTTCAGTTAATTGTTGGTGTTACTCTGTGTGTTTATTGCTGTGAAACGTTGCTATACAGACTGCGTGCACCATGTCCACTTCAAATCACTGAGAATAACCCTTTAGTACTCCCAAAATTAAAAGGTATCTCCTCACCCAGCAGGTTACAGGTGCCAGCCCACGGTATTTGTCAAATTATCATAAATAATGTAAATATGTATATAGCTGTTTCCTGTCCAGTGGGAATCCTTATTTAAGGACATTGCTCCTAAAGCTTCCCCTCCCCAGCCTTGACAAATCATGCTGGCAGGTCTCAGTGATTATTGCACCAATGATGTGGACCTAGGGGTGTCCCCTTGCTGCCCTGTAGGGGACGCTAATATTAAAGGTGCTAGAATAACAATGGGATTAAGGGTCCCCACGTTTCCTATAGAGAAGTAAAGGGTCAGAGAGCCGGGAAATATACATAAGAAATCAGTTTATTAGAAATGGAGAGTATGGGTATGACTTTGTAAAGTGTAATTACCATGGAAACCTCACCGACCAGAAACGATATTTCATTGGTTTCTACGGCGATTGCTCCACTTTGAATAATAATAATTGTAATTTTGCGTGTGTTCCTGCAGTGCGGTGTGCGTCTGGCTCGCCCTCCCAGATCAATATGTCAGAACTCGCACTTTGCGTTTGTGTTTTGTCGCCAGAGATCAGCAGCTAATGAGAGAATTTCTTTTTCACTGTTTGCCAAACCACTTAGCAGCCGACTCAGTGAATTGAAACAGCTCTAATTTATTCCGCATCCCAAGTGCCCGGAAATAAAAGGATGGGAGTTACTGTCCTTTACACAAATATAGAACGTTTCACCCAGATACTGCACACTATATGTGATTTATTAATACGATATACAGCAATACACTAACTATCAGACACTTCACAGACTGAACACTGAACCCTGCAGCTCTGTGTGTGCATGCTGCGTTTATGCTGGCTGTGTACTATGTGTATACTGTATGTGTGTTGTGTGCATGCTGTGTATACACTCTGTGAATGCTTTGTGTATACTGTGCATGTTATGTGTATACTGTGTATGCTGTGTATACTGTGTGTGTGTGTGTGTGTGTGTGCATGCGCATATTGTGTGTGTCTGTGTGTGTGTGTATGCATGCTTTGTGTATACTGTGTGTGTGTACATGCTGTGGGTATACTGTGTGTGTACATGCTGTGGGTATACTGTGTTTGTGTGTGTGCATGCTGTGTGTATGCTGTGTGTAGACAGTGTGTGTGTATGCTGTGTGCATACTGTGTGTGTGTGTATACTGTGTGCATGATGTGTGTATACTGTGTGTGTGTGTGCATGCTGTGGGTATACTGTGTGTGTGTGTGCATGCTGTGTGTAGACTGTGTGTGTGTGTGTGTGCTGTGTGTATACTGTGTGTATGCTGTGTGCATACTGTGTGTGTGTATACTGTGTGTGTATACTGTGTGCATGCTGTGTGTATACTGTGTGTGTGTATATTGTATGCATGCTGTGTGTATACTGTGTGTGTGCATGCAGTGTGTATACTGTGTGTGTGTATACTGTGTGCATGCTGTGTGTATACTGTGTGTATGCAGTAGATGATGTCAGCACTGAGTGCAGTATATTTCACGTGCAGTGATGTATTTATATTTATGTCAGAGCATGGCAGCTCCTCTCATTCTGACCTTAGGTTAACGAGTAACCTGCGCCATATCTACTAAATGGCGTGTGGCCAGGACTCAGGATTTTGCCAGGTCTTCTAATAAAAATCTATTGTCTGCCGTCAATCTCTAAGAAAAGCATTAGCTGGAATCCCTTTGTGAAGGCTGCAAGTCCCGGCCATTATTCCTGCAGTGAATTACGTTTTTACTATGGCGAATGGGCCGCCGGTTGCTAGGAAACCTTTCAGTCTTGCTCCTGACAAGAACCTGAGATCTATCCTTCTCAGCTGAAATATTTATGCGCTTTGTGTCCATATCTGAACGAGAAGCCATCCTCAAATGGCATTCTCAAAACACTCTGCATTAAACAGCTCGGAGGCCAAGCAGACAGTCTAATTAGACAGCTTTCTGACATCTCCCTACGCACGGCCAGCGTGACCTCTGTGACACAGGGCATTGTGGGATACCGTATTATATACAGCCACACAGGGGATTGTGGGATACTGTATTATATACAGCCACACAGGGGATTGTGGGATACTGTATTATATACAGCCACACAGGGGATTGTGGG